TAAAATAAAAAAATATATGATTTTTTTATGTGAATTATATACACTAAATTTTTTACAAAATAAATGATTTAAATTATCAAAACGAAACTCATAGTAAACTTTACATGCCCTTTAAATTCTCTCAGAAGTCAAACCTGTGCAGTATAATCATTCAAAGGTTTGGATTCTCTTGTTGAGTAAAATATTTATATAAAAAATTATGTTGATCGAATATTGGTACCTATATCTTTAAATCTCATTTGTTTTAAAACAATAGATAACAAATATATAATTTTAAGAATAACTATACACTTTTTAAGATACAAATGTAATTGAGATATATAATTATGGATATCCGATCATCTTAGTTTTTTACATAAATATTTTACTCAAATAAAACATAAAAAATTATTAGCTTAGATTAATAAATAGAATATTTAACCTAATAATTATATAACACCTTTTATAATGTAAAGTTTTTTTAAAAAAAGAGTTTAATTTATGAGTCGTGCTGGGTAGCTCGAAATGAGCTACCCCGAATCCCCCTAATTATATATATATATAATATATATATTTTTTCAGAAGTAGAGAAGGAGGAGAGGAGGAGGAGGAAGGAGGAAGGGGGAGGGGGAGGAGGAGGAAGGAGGGGACTGGAGGGGGCCTTTCAGAAGCAGAGAAAGAGAAGAGAAGGAGGAAGGAGGGAAGAGGAGGAGGAAGGAGGGGACTGCGACGACGGGGCTAGACTGCGATGACGACCGGCGGTTGGGCGACGATCGGCGACTGGGCATCGGCGATCGACGATCGTCTTCTCTCTCTCTCTTTCTCTCTTCCCCTCCCCTCTGCTTCTCTCCCTCTTCCTCTCCCTGTTTCAGAGTCGAAAAAAAAAAAAAAAAAATCTCCAAAACGACGTCGTTTTGGAAATTAGAAAGACCAAATTCAAGCTCTCAAACATTATTATTAATTTATGGTGATTTATGTTCTGGATTTTTATTACTTTCTAGCTTCTGTGATTGTTTGACAATTCAGGAAATCGGTGAATCCACGCCAAATAAATGAAAATGCTTTTGTCTCTTATAATCGCAGTCCCATCCATAAAACATAATAACTGCCACGCAATGACTATTTTGCCCACAGTTTTTTTGGCGTCAAATTGTTCGATTATTTTTAGGGAAAGTCTGCTAACCAGATTTATCCACTTATAATTTTTTATAAATTGATTTGTGTAATGTAAAATTTATATAAGATATGGTAAAAATTAATTTTTGTGTTAATAAAGGTATATTTGAAACATTACTATTTTTTTTAATATAAAAAAGAAAAAAAAAAGAAAAAGAAATTTGATGAAAACTCCACTATTTGACCCTTCTTTAGTGAAAATGACCTCCCATAATTTTTTTTTTCATAATCCCCTTACTTGGAGACCCATATGGAGGACACCAAAATATTGTTATATTTTTTTGGGATAAATTTTGCCCTTCCAACCCCTCAATAACACTAACCCGTCAAATTCTCTCTCTACTGTTCCCAACTCTCTCTTTCTCACTTTCTCTATCTCACGTTATCTCTCTTCACCCATTGAAATTGCTTTTGGAGTTGAAACAAAACTTCTTGAATAAACAAATTGATTCTTCGCCGCTTCATGTTACGATGTTATTAGTTGAGATTCAAGAACAACAGAGCTTGATAGAGATGTATGAGATTACAATAAAAAAAATTAGAATCTAAATTGAAAACAAAAGAGAATAGTATCTATGCACTTGACGAAGAGCTTAATTAATTAATTTCCAATAACAAGTCCCCCGGAGAGAGACAATTTTTGGTGCTCGATGGTACATGTATCTTTAGGTCCCGTTTATTTTTAGAGATAGAATGGAGGGGATTCATAGTGAGAGGATTAATATTGAGGAGATTGTTAGTGAGGGGATTAATAGTGAGGGGATTAATAGTGAGGAATTATTAAATTATTTTTATATAAAATAATAAAACAAATAAAAAAATATAAAAAATTAAACATTATATTTTAAAAAAAATTCCCAATATATAAAAAATAAAAATAAATAAAAAATTTCTAATCCCCTCACTATTTTTCTAATACCATCTCTACCTCTTCCTTACCAATCCCCCTTCCTCCTCCTTACTAATACCAAGGGATTACTAATCCCCTCCTCATCTCTCAAAACAAACACCCCATTCTCAATCCCCTCTTTACTACTAAATCCAATCTCCTTCCTAAAACTCCAAATAAACGGGCGTTATTGTTGATTTGACTATGAATTTATAGTGAAGGAACTTATAAAGTTTCCGTTAGACCATCTCCAACGCTTCAGCAAACGTGATATCAAATTCAAAATTTGATGAAAAAGTCACTTTTTTGAGCTCCAACCGTTTCACCAAATCGATATCAAATTCAGAATTCAGCAAATCTTGTACCAAAATGAGAACAGGGGAAGCATTTTACCATATCACTGTTCCTAACCGTTGGGAGAGACCAACTGGTCAACCAGCCGGTTGCCCGGCCGGTTGACCAACCGGTTGACCGCCTAAAGGTTCAAACGGTTCGAAAAAAAGGTTCAAACAGTAAAAAAATATATATATATATATTTTTTTTGCCTAACCGGTCGACCACTAAAAGGTTCAAAAAGTTCCCAAAAAAAAAAAATCAAAAAAAAAATTCGCTTAACCGGTCGACCAACCGGTTGTCCCTGGCACAAATTTGATGAAAGTGCACCGTTGGAGCGAGTGGTATCAAATTGGTAAAATGAGTCATTTTTGACTCAAATTTGGTGAAAAATCTGAGTAACCGTTGGAGATGCTCTTAGTTCCTACTTTTTTTTTATTTTTTTATTAGTGATACTCTATTTAAGAAGATAATGTTATTCTGATAATCAATAATATGTTATTGTGAATTTTTTTTTTATGAATTTTATAGTCAATATAAATCTTATTTGTTTACAAATATTAATTTTATTAAAAATTGATATATAAATCAAAAATTATATTATTTTAAATTTTAAAATATTAAATTAGTCATTAAAGATATTTTGATATTAAAATAGTATGTGTTAGATTTTTCAACAAAATTTTTTTGTACTTATTCTTTATGTATTAAAATTTTGGGTCTAGCTTGACTCAAGTTGAGATCAAGATTAGACCCGTCCGTCCGGCCCATGAGGCCTATTTTTTTGATCCGTTTTGATAATCTGAACCGTTAATGTGTAGAACTCATCGAGTACTCTCTATTTATAAAAAATCACGTTGATCGGATAACAATAGCTATGTGATCAAATCAGTTTTATATATATAAAAAAAATAGAAGGTGAAAAAATTAACAGCTGATAAAAAATTATTTTGTTCACATAACTATCGATATCCGATCAACGTGGTTTTTTACAGGTCTATAGTACTCGACGAGTTCTACACATTGAACGGTTCGAATTATCAAAACGGGACTCGTGGTGGGCCCTCACGGACCTAACAGTATGATTCAGTCCGATCTTGGACTGGACCAAAGCTACTGCCTAAAATTTTATGGGTTTGTTTTTTTTTTTTTTTTTGATAGAAAAAAGTTTAGGTGACGAGAGAGCTATCCTAGCTTAGGGTCAAGACAAGCCACATGTCTCAGCGAAGATTAATATTAGACTTATTGATCACTCACTAATTCTGTCTTTGATTAAGGGATTTGAAAAGGAATTTAGAAAGAAAAAGAATATTTTACTTACATTTCATCTTCTTTTTCTATTTTTTTTTAAATCTTTTCTTAAATTTTTCAAACAAACAAAGCATAAAAATGACTGCTAGCATCGAAATCATGAAGACAAAAAATTCGATCCTTACCAACTCAGCTAACCCTGTTAATTTTTTTTATATATATTTATTATGGACTTTCACCAAATCCCCTCGTGGGGTTATTTCGTCCCACTATCCCCACTTTGATTTCGTGGGTCCTCCTCGATTCGTAATTCATTGCAGAGTCTTTCGACCCTAAATTAAATTTAAGCCTCTAACTTATTTTGAAAAGTGAGTTAAAAATTTTTTATTTTATTTTTTAATTTATTTTTAAAAAAATAGAAAAAAATAATTATACGATTTATCTTTAGTTTTCAGAATTTATTTTTAAAAAAAATTCTACTTTATCATTTTTTGTATTTTTATTGAATTTTTTTAATATTTTAAGTAATTTTTTTAATTTTTAAACACACCTAATATAAATACACTTTAAAAATATAATATTTGTGAAAAAATCTTTAAAAAAATCACTAATTACCAAAAATACAAAAAAATATGAAAATTTAGTACATTTTTCATATTTTTGTGTATTTATTAATTTTTTAAAATATTTTTTTACAAATATTTTATTTAAAAATTTAAAAATATTCACTAAAAATAAAAAATATAAAAAATAAAAAAATTAATTTTTAAAAAATTAAATTTAAAAAATCAAAATCAAACACCCAAAAAAAAATTGAAAAAAAAAAGTTAAGAAGTCAAAAAAAAAAAAAAACTTTTAAACTACTTTTTAAAATGGATTGCGTCAGTCAACCTATGGAATCAAAAGTTGCGTCACATATGATATGGAATCAAAAATTGCTTAGAAGTCAAAAAAAAAAAAAAAAAAACTTTTAAACTACTTTTTAAAATGGATTGCGTCAGTCAACCTATGGAATCAAAAGTTGCGTCACATATGATATGGAATCAAAAATTGCTTAATGCTTACCACAACACGCAAGGGGTATTTCCGTCATTTCATCCCTCAACATTTCACTGCACGTCCTGTAGTCTATTTGTACACCTCCATTACACTCTATGCACATATTTCTTAATAAATAATTTGTTCAAGAATAGTATTATAAAAATAAACAATTTGTTCGAAATTAACATTTCAAAAATTATCATTCCTTTCAAGAATTTCAATTTCTTTTATATTTTTTTCGTTATTCAATTTTTGAATGTATTTATTTAAATTATATGTAATGTCTCTAATAATAATTTTACTTAAAAATAAAATTTTAATAAAAATAATTATCATTCGGTACGTGCAGGGTGGAATGGGTGCTGCAAATAGAAGTTGCCTGCCAACTCCCTCCCCCTCCTTCTTCTTCTTCTTCTTCTTGTCTATATATAAAACGAAAACGCTCCCCAACAACCCACCCTTTTTCACACACAAAAGTCGAGTTTGTCTGTTTGTTTGTTTTTTTTCCCCCCTTCTCTGAAAGCTCATTCGAAATCACAACAATGGAGCGAAGCAATTATGGCCGTGGAGGTCGTGGTGGTGGTGGTGGTCGTGGAGGAAGAGGTGGTGGTGGTGGTGGTCGAGGTAGTGTCGATCGCCAGTATCAGGGCGGAGGAGGACGAGGAGGAGGTTGGGGTAGAGGCTCCACCTTCCAACAACCGACTCAACAGTGGGGCCCTCGGCCTCAGCCACCGCCGCCGAGGCCCGAATCGGCCGAATCCTCCACCGCAAGAGGCGGCGAACGAGGAGCTTGGGGTCGCCCTGCTCCTGCTCCTGCTCCTGCTCCTGCTCCTGCTCCTGCTCCTGCTCCTGTTCCTGTTCCTGTTCCTGTTCCTGTTCAGTCACAGAGGGCTCCTGCACCTCGTTCTGGTACAGATCTGCTACTCTGTCTCTTCTAGATCGTATTTGTAGATGTTTGATTTTATTTAATTTGGTTGATGAATTTATGTAACTTGGTGATCATTGTTGTAATTCTATTAGATTTCTTGTCTGTTTGGTAGTTTAAATTTTGTTGTTTTAATTTTGTTTTCGAAACTTCAATTCATAAAGGATTAGATTAGATGTGTGTACAGAGAAGAAGTTCACTATGGTGGGTCTTTTGTAATTTTTGGTTATTAGATTTTATTATTGGATTGTTGTCTTAATTGGGTGTTCAAATTTCAATTCATACCTAAATAGATGCGTGTACAGAAGAAAAATAAATAAATAAGGGAGAAAGAACGTTTACAAAAAAGTGAAATTTTTTATAATTTTAATTATTAATATTTATGACCTTTTTGTAATTATTTGTTTGTTGGGTTAATTGGGTGTTCAAAATTTCAATGCATACGAAAATTGATGTATGTACGGATAAAATATCCACAATTGTGGGTCTTTTGCAACTTTATTGTGGTTTCTGGAAATTATTCTTGATTAAGATAATGTATTTGTTTGGTTTTCATTTGGAAAAATTATATTTTACCCATCTTCATTTGCTCCAAAAATGGAGATCTGTAATCAAATTTTCAATTCATACATAACTATATTTGTGTACAGGAAAAAAAAAAAAAATACAATGGTGGGTCTTTTGCAACTTTGGTTATTATATTTAACTATTACATTGTTGTGTTAATTGGGTGTTCAAAAATTCTATGCATACATGAATAAGAGAAAAAAAAATCACTATGCTGGGTCAATTGCAATGATTCTAGATTAAGGTAATGTATTAGACTGGTTTTTCATTCGGGAAAATTATACTTTAGCCATGTTCATTTGCTTAAAAAGTACATCATCTACATTGGTTTAAAGCAGATACTCAATCCCTTGTGGTTGTGATTGCACTGCAACCGTCAAGTTTTCAGCACATATTAGAAGTTTTCAGTTCTTACCCATGTTAAATTTGGTTTGTTCTTCTATGCAGATCCTTCTATTCCAGATATCTCGTCACTGAAGATAAGTTCGGGGAGTAATCTGCTCCCTGTAAGAAGACCGGACACAGGTGGCACACTTGCCATTCAGTCTCCCAAACTTAGTGTCAACCATTTCCCAGTGAGGTTCAATGAGAAAACCATCATTATACATTATGATATAGATATTAAACCGGATGTTTCTTCCAAGAGTCGTCCTGCAAGAGTATCAAAATCTGTTCTGAGTATGGTCAAGGACAAGCTGTTCTCTGATGATCCTGCCCAATTTCCTCTGTCGAGGACTGCCTATGATGGTGAGAGGAATGTATTCAGTGCAGTTCCACTGCCCACTGGAACATACAAAGTGGATTTCTCTGGTGGGGAGGACATGAAGAGTAGTTCTTACACAGTTACTATAAAGCATGTAAATGAGCTGGAATTAGGCAAGCTCAAGGAGTACTTGAGTGGGAAAGTCCTGTCCATCCCTCGTGACGTACTACAGGGTATGGATTTGGTAATGAAAGAGAATCCATCTAGACATAGAATCTGTGCCGGTCGAGGCTTTTATTCTGCAACATCCGCAGATGATCTCGGGGTTGGTATTATAGCATCTAAAGGCTTCCAACAAAGTCTAAAGCCCACCTCCCAGGGTCTTGCCTTGTGTTTGGACTATTCTGTTTTGGCATTCCGCAAGCGATTGCCAGTTATAGATTTCCTTAAGGAACATGTTAGGGGATTTCGAGGAGTAAATGATGTGACAAGGTTGAGAACAGATGTCAAGAATGCATTGGAAGGCCTGAAAGTTACAGTAAATCATCGTATTACCAAACAAAAATACACCATTGCTGGGTTAACTGATCGCAGCACACGAGATCTTTCATTTGATAATGTGGATCCAGAGGGCAAAGCTCCACCAAGGCGAGTTAGCCTTGTTGAGTATTTCAGGGGAAAATATGGTAAGGAAATTATGTACAAGGATATTCCAAGCTTGGATTTGGGGAAAAATGGTAGAATAAACTATGTACCAATGGAATTCTGCATCTTGGTTGAGGGGCAGAGGTTCCCAAAGGAGAACTTGAACGACAGAGGAGCCAAGTTGTTGAAGGAAATGTCGCTGATTCGGCCAGCGGTCAGAAGGAAAACAATTTGTGAAATGGTGCAGGCTGAGGATGGACCTTGCGGGTAAATTTCATTACTTAAAGACCTTCATGTTTTCATACTGTGTATGTTTGATTGTGTTGCTTTTAAAAATATTTGTATTTCTATTGGTGTGATAAGTTTTGGTCAGATCAGTGCATCCCATAGTCAGCAGGTGGTTGTTTTCTTCCTTTGCTGCCAGAGGAGTAATTTGAGCATGCACATGCTCAAACAAGTCGGTGATGCACTTGATTTTGCATGCAAAATATTTTGAGGGCGTTTTAAACTCATTCATGTTATATTGATTCTAATTCTTTCTTTTCTATGTTTCAAAACTTTCTTTTGATACTAGTTTTGGCCAAGGAATTTCTAGGCAGTTACCTTACTTGGGCTCCAGTATTTTCATAATATAAGTAAAAGAAATTTTTTGGAGAAATTGGTGTTATTTATTTGATTATCCAATTCATGATTCCCAAATTTCTAGGCATTTAAACATTAATAAAGGATGCATCATAAGTCATCAATTTGCAGTGAAATTCATATAATTCATAAACGAAGGGTTACTTTGCACATGTTTGTGTTTGTTGGTTGCCAAATATATTCTTCTTAAATTTTGTTTTGTTTCTCTTCTATATATAAACGTTTTCAGTTTTTTTGACATACTGGCAGGGGGAATGTTGCTCGAGGTTTTGACATAGAAGTCATCAAGGACATGACAATGGTGAAAGGCCGTGTCATTGGGCCACCTCAGTTGAAGCTTCGAGCTCCCGATGGCAACCTAAATGCAGTAAGCGTGGACAGGGTGAAATGTCATTGGAATCTCGTCAGGAGATCAGTGGTGGAAGGCAAACCAGTTCAGAGCTGGGCTTTACTAGATTTCAGCTCTTCTGATCTAAACTATTTTGTTCCACAACTTATAAAAAAGTGCAATAATCTAGGGATTCGAATGAATGAGCCTCTCGTCTATCGGTCCACAAACATGCGCCCATTTTCTGATATTGATCAGCTTCGAAGTCTTATCGAAAATGTCATTAAGGAGGCTAATGAGAAATACAAGAGTCAATTACAAATCGTTGTCTGTGTAATGGATGGGAAGCATCCTGGCTACAAGTCTCTCAAATGGCTAACCGAGACCCAGATTGGGATACTGACTCAATGTTGCTTGTCCAATCATGCTTACGAAGCAAAAGATCAATATCTTGCCAATCTTGCTCTCAAGATTAATGCCAAGCTTGGAGGTAGCAACGTTGAGCTCAATCAACGCCTCCCTCGTTTTGATGGCGAAGGACACGTTATGTTTGTGGGAGCCGATGTCAATCACCCTGCTGCTCGAAACTCAACCTGTCCATCAATGGCAGCGGTGGTTGCTACACTCAATTGGCCTGCTGCAAATCGTTATGCTGCACGTGTTTGCCCCCAGTACCACCGGAAAGAGAATATTTTGAATTTTGGGGTCATGTGTCAGGAACTTATCCGAACTTATGCTCAGATCAACAAGGTAAAGCCAGCAAGAATCGTCGTCTTCCGAGATGGGGTGAGTGAGGGCCAATTCGATATGGTTCTCAATGAGGAATTGCTTGATCTGAAAATGGCCATTTATGAGGAACATTACCGGCCAACGATTACTCTTGTTGTTGCCCAGAAGCGACACCAAACTCGTTTGTTTCCCGAGAGCATGAAGGATGGGAGTCCTGACGGCAATGTGGTTCCTGGAACAGTCGTCGACACGGTAATCACTCATCCATATGATTTTGATTTTTACCTTTGCAGCCATTATGGGAGCATGGGGACAAGCAAGCCTACCCACTACTATGTCCTCTGGGACGAGCACAACTTCACATCCGATCAGTTGCAGAAGCTCATATACGACATGTGCTTCACTTTCGCTCGATGCACGAAACCGGTCTCTCTTGTCCCGCCAGTGTACTACGCTGACCTTGTCGCGTTCAGGGGGCGTATGTTCCAAGAGGTGGTTATGAAATTGCCTCCTGGCTCAGCATCATCATCATCCTGCTCGTCATCATCTTCGCATGCTATGGTTTCAATAACCCAGCAGTCCGCTTCATTCGATGAGAAGTTCTACAAGCTGCATCCTGAGCTTGAGAACATCATGTTTTTCATCTGAAGGCTCAGAAATGGTCACCCAATCTCCTTTGCAACACTCAATGGAGGAAAAAACAGCCCAGCGTACGCTGATCAAATCTCCTTTTCTAGACCAGTGAAGGAGTTTGTGCGTGAATCTAATGGGTTTTCTGTTTCTGCTTTTGTTTTTGTTTTTGTTTTTGCTGTGGGTTTATCGTGGTTGGTGTGGAACCTTGTACTTTGTGTTTATGTTTCTTTTTGCTTGTATTATGTTTGAAGGTTATGGTGTCTTTTGGATTTCATGTGTCTGTATGTGAACTGATGAAATATTTGGCTTTAGATTTGTTTGAAGATTGATCAAAATTTATGTCCTTCGTTTGGATTTTGGATTTTGGGGTTTTTGTTTATTTTTATTTTTTATCAGATTGGCACAATATAACAGTTGAATTTCCATATGTTTGAGCTAATTGTTTGTGCAAAACATATGCACAGGTGAAAAGCACATTCTGTTTGATTTTGATTTTAATGTTTAAAAAATAGTTGAGTTTTTCATTTTTTTTTTTGGTTTTTTTGCCGTGATTTTTTTTATTATATAATTTGCACTTAAAAATATAAAAGTATACTAATTTTGTATTTTTTATATTTAGTGATTTTTTTAAAAAAATAAATTCATTTAGTACAAACTTCTGTGGGATAATTAGAGTCTTATAGTATTAAGGGAGACTCTCAAGTTTTGTAGTTCATTTCACAATATTTGATTTGCAACCAAAATTGTGACTTGGGTTTTTTTTTTCTTTCAAGAAGTGATTGAGACTTCCTCCAATCACCAACCCTACACGCACGTGAGGGCTGTTGATTGGAGGAGAAGTAAAAAAAAAAATTGGCCAATCAAAAAAAGAGGGGATCGTGGGAGTGCCTTTTGTGGGAGTCCAAGTTATTTTTCTTTTTTTCCCCATGAAGATTGATGAAGAATTCCACAAAATCAACTTCATTATTAATGTCAAAAAAACCCAAATAAGATTCTCCTAAGGCCCTGCTTGTTTAGGGTTTTTTTTTTTACATGTTTGGCATCTGTTTTTGAACATTAATATTTAATTTTTTGTATTTTTTGTTAAGTAAAAATCATAATTTTATTTGTTTTATTTTTTTCTATTTATTTATTTATTTTTTATATGTTGGGCATTTTTATTTTTGAACATTAATGTTTAATGTTTTTGTATTTTTTTTATTTGTTTTATTATTTTATATAAAAATAATTTAACAATTCCTACACTAATAACTATAATCAAAACAAATACCCTCACTATTAATCCCCTCACTATGAATGCTCTCCATTCTATCTCTAAAAACAAATGGAGCCTAGAGTTATAACTCCACTAATTTTCAAAAAAAAATTTGGAGAGAGTTTAGAAATTTTTTTGGTTTGTTTGGTTGTACATTCTAAGGGTGTGTCTATTTGGACGGACTGAATAAGGGGGGATTGTAATCCATCGGACTGTTAGTCCTGAGATACATTGTCCCGGGACTATTTGGTTGGATTGGATTTGTATCTTATGTTTGTTTAGTCATAGGATTAGATGTCTGGATTGGACTATTTTTAGTAAATCCAATGTTTGGTTAGACGGACTGGATAAGGATAAATGTTCAAAAGACTATTTTACCCTTATAATCTATAATTTATAATTTAACAACACTATAAAAATTTAATTTATAAGGCCACAATTTTTAATTTATTATTTTCAATTAAATTAAATTTATATTTTATATTTTATATTTTTATTTAATATATAATTTTAAATAACGACAATAAAAAAATAATTTTATTTAATATATAAATTAAATTTTCAACAACACTAAAAAAATTTAATTTATAAGGCCACAATTTTTAATTTATTATTTTCAATTAAATTAAATTTATATTTTATATTTTATATTTTTATTTAATATATAATTTTAAATAACGACAATAAAAAAATAATTTTATTTAATATATAAATTAAATTTTCAACAACACTAAAAAAATTTAATTTATAAGGCCACAATTTTTAATTTATTATTTTCAATTAAATTAAATTTATATTTTATATTTTATATTTTTATTTAATATATAATTTTAAATAACGACAATAAAAAAATAATTTTATTTAATATATAAATTAAATTTTCAACAACACTAAAAAAATTTAATTTATAAGGCCACAATTTTTAATTTATTGGAGGGTAAAATGGACATTTCACAAAATAATCCCATGGGATACTAATCCCATGGTTTCTACCCCACACCCTCCCATGGGATAGGATAGTCCCATGTTTGTGGGACTAATAATCCGGAGGGACTATTAGTCCGGAGCAAAAATTTTCAAACAAACAATGGACTATTAGTCCGGTGGGACTAATAGTCCAATCCCACCCTCTTATCCCTCAAAACAAACATGCTCTAAAAGTAATTTTGGAATTTGAGGGTTTAAGATGATTAGATATTTTGTTGTAATTGAGTAGATATGTGTAAGAGAAAAAATGATTAATTGATTTGTAAGATAAAGAGTGATTTTGAAATTTTTTTGAGAAAAATTATAAATCAAACAAAATTTTGAATTTTTTTTCAAAAACAACTCTCCCAAAAATGAACCAAACAAGCCCTTAATTTTTTGAAAAACTAGTGAGTCATAAGTTAGCAACCATGCATGGCAAATGTAGAAGCTATTCATGGTCACACGTTCAAATTGTTTCACAAAAACTTCATTATTAATGTCCAAAAACTCAAATAAGATTCTCCCAAAGTAGTAACTCCACAGATTTTTATTTTTTGAGAAATTATCGAGTTATGAGTTAGCAATGGACAAATGTAGAAGCTATCCATGGTCACACGTCCATATTGCATTGTAAAACGTGTAAGCAAAACTTTATTACACATTTAGAGTGACACGTGACAACAGATAACATGTGTGCTTGTCAGTTACATTTATAACATGTGTGCTTGTCAGTTGCATTTATAGATGTAGTCCAATGACATCCATATTTGCAGTTAGAGGTGACAAACGATTAGATTAGATCAAATCAAAATAAGTTATACATTTATAATAATTTAATCCGGTTGGACAAATGAAACCAACTTAACCCATTTACTTTATCAATTTATTTCATCAAGATGAGTGAACATGGCATATGCATATACTTTAGAACACCAAGCAAACGACTCTTCAATAAATAAACCAAAAATGGTTATTTTCATTTCGCAAGGCCAAAAAAAAAAAAAAAAATAGTAATTAGTTCCATCCAAGCATTTTTCTAGCTACACAAACACAATGTTGTGGGTTCTTGAAGGAACTATTTTGTACCAATGTTTGCCTGCTGAATATTGAAAGCGAAAAGATTCATAATACACAAATCCATTAGTCGGTCCAGCAACCAAACTCAGCTGATAAAAGCAAATCATTTCCCTATAAATAGTAATTGCAAGTGAATTTCCAAGCTCAATTACACAAGGGGTGTTTTATGGAGCTAACTTTGCTCTTCTAAAGATATTACACAAATTGAGCCCATACTTAACTGGCTCTCACTATAACTATCGTCAAAACCGGGAACATATATATGTTGTTAAACTTAATAGAGACATTTGTCATATCAACACAATTTTCTAAATTTGGAACTTACACCGTTTCTCAGAGAAGATGAGGATGACGAGGAAGAGAAACCAGAACGGTGAAGCTCGGCCTTGTCCTTGTTAAATGCCTTCTGAACGTCTTCCTTGAGCTCTACAAAGCGCTTCCTCTTAATTAACTGCTCCTCTGGAGTCCCCTTCTCTAGGTAAAACAAATCAGGTAGGTCGTCCTCCATGAACTTATCCAACACCTCTGAGCAATGTGGGAAGTAACGTCGACCCATTTCCACTGCGCAGTGACAACCACAAATGTGTAGGAAAGTAATTGTGAAAATGAATTCATGTACGAGGATTGTAAATAACTTCCCTAATGATCAGCGTCATATCATAGTCTCAGTGTTGCAAGTAGCATATGGTCATCATCTCCAATTTAATATAGGCTGTTTGGTGCAACTTAAGGAGCTGTTTATAAGGGGTGTTTGGTGGGGCTTTTTTGAGCCAACTTATGACTTCTGACTTTTAAAAAGTTATTTTGAACTGTTTGGTTAAACTTATTTCAAACAATTTCTGATTCTAACTTATTTTAAATCAAAAAAGCTGATTCTCAAAAGCTGCTCACCCCTTACTTCTGATTATCAGTTTCTGCTGTAGACGTGTTAATTCACGGTTATACTCTTAAATTTTTTTATTTTTTATTTTTTAAAAAAATAGAAAAAGACCCAAATGGACTATAAAATATTATTATTATTTTTTATGAGAAATGTAGACAAATAGTGAATAATAAAAAATAAAAATTAATTGAAAAAGCTACTTCACAACTTATTTAATAAACACTACTCAGCAACTTAAATCTATAATCCAACAGCTATACCAAACAGATTAATAGCTTCTGATTAAACTCATAATTTATAATCTATTAAGCTATAATTTATAATCTGTTTTAACAGCTATACCAAACAGCACCATAGTTTGGTAACCGTCTGGTAATATAAATTCTAAGCAATTTTTCAAGCGTTCAATAAAGCAACGTTCAAAAACCACTAGAATACACATAGAAGTTCTCTTAACTAGAAAATATAGTAGGAATAAAAGAGATAAGATTAGTATATAAAAATCAAACAGTTGAACAAAGGGACAGTATAAATAAAAGTATATAAAAGGAAAAATTATCAATAAGTCCTATTTTTCCCTTTATAGATACCCAAGGAAAATTTTATAAAAATGAATGTAGAAATGTGAGGTGCTTTCCCCGCCAAACGGAAAAAAAAATCCATAAAACAACCTAGGCAATGGACTTGCCCACAGTTCTCACTCAGGAGAATTAGAAAACCTTTTAAATTCCTCAAACAAGATGAATGGGTATACAAAATCAAAAAGTATGAACGGGTATACACCGGCATTTAAGCAACCTAATCAACTCAAACTGAAACAAGCATTGGATGAAAATAATAATAATAAACAAATAAAGCTTCCACGTACCTGTTTTTGAAAGAGTCTGCATTCTTGAGAGGAGCCTTTTGTTCTGCATTAGGGGTGTTTCGTTCAAATCAACCTCCCTCAAGTTCCCATTTGAACCTCTCGACACCAAACGACCGGCAAACTCAGATGTCTCAGCATGTGCAATATCCATGGCTAGCTTAGCTTCGGTAGGGAAGAATAATTTTGCAAATGCAACTGCAATATACAAATATGAAAAATTAATACCTAGCACTGAATTTGCGCAAAGGCATAGAAATTCATGAAACTCACGTCAAATTCAATAAAAAGCATTATAACAAGTACGAAGTGAAGCTGAGATGGGACAGTGGAGAGGTTGATTCCTATGACTTGAACGCGCACTACAAAGCTGGAGGCGGATAGCACTTGTTTATAGCTCGTGGCCACAACCTCTAAAACTTAGACTAACATTATATGACTTAAATTTAGAGAGGAGAAATCAAGATTGTCATCTGGAGAATATCACCTCTGTTTTCTAAGTATAGCAGCTTCATGTGCAGATCATCAGCCACTGTTGGGGAAGACATTGATACATCTCCAACCATTGGATTCCTCCACATCTCTCTGTCCAAAACATCAATGCATATCCGGTCTTTGTTTGCTTCCTGTCCCTGCTCTGTTTTCGCGTGATAATCCTTTGGCCTCGTTAATCTCCGGCAAATACTAACAGCACTACGCCCATCCAATGTTGTTTCTGATGCCCGAGCTCTTTTTGTCAGAAGGGATACTATTATTGATGGCTCTTTACGCATTGCAGCAATATGAAGCACCGTGTAACCCCGAGGATTCAGAAGATTGACATTAGCCAGACCCAAACCAAGCACCTCGGACACCACCTTTGGATCACAGTAGGCAACAGCATAGTGAAGAGCATACGCTTCATCTAAAGTGATATCAGACTCAGTTAATAGAAGTTTCACAAGCTCGACATCATCTGAGTCAAGTGCCTTGTGTATTCTTCTAATTCTCTTTTCACGTAAGGGGTCAACAACCGTTATGTCATTTTCATCGTCTTCCTGAGGCTTGAGGCGGAGCACTTTAATTTTTTCCGCAACTTCGAAGGGTAGCTCTTTCTCGAGAGAAATGCTATCAATATCTGATCTTGCTACTCTATCGACACACTGAACAAGAAGCTGGCTTGATTGGCAGTGGAAGGCAACAAGAAGGATTGGGATGACATCTTCCACAAGAGCCTTGCCAACAAAGTTGACAAGACGCCGCTGCAATAAGTCACAGATTGTCAAAAATAATTCTCTTTTAGTATAAAGAAAACAAAAAGTGACGGAAAACCAGTGCTTATATTTTCCTCTTTTTCTAAATAAATAAAGAAACACATCAAACTTTTGATTATACTCCATTCATATTTTACAGTTGTAGCCGAAAACCTGTGAGTTTTCAGTCTTATTGTTTGCATCATATATTCGTGGATTAAATTGGTATCTCAAATACTTCTTTGTTTCTATTTTTCCTTCATAAGATAAGATAGTTGATCAAATCTAGAATATGTTTTACAATTTACATAACCAGCATAATAAGCAGAAGAACCACTCACAAATATATCCATTCAAAAACATGCAGCACCAAGACCAATTCAACCTGAATCATCAGTTATTTGTGTGATTTTTTGCATCACATATTCATGGTAGTACATCAACATGTCAAACTGTAAAGACAATTCTGTCAAAACTCCTTTACAGTTTGCTCACTCCAGCACCATAAAAGAATTTTGAAATGACTTGCAAAAAAATTCATCTGAAACAACATAATTAACTCAATTTAAGTCTTTTCTCGATATTTTAAGCTTCCACCTTAACAAGTTTGCCCACACTATAACACCACAAAGAACTGGAAGCTGTCTTGGTATAAGTCTATGAAAGCTCTTCATTTCTTGGTATCAGTCCATCACTTACTCAAGCTTTCTTGGTACCAGTTAATGAAAGCTCACTAGCCATGGGAAGCTTGGTTATATATATCCTAACACCCCCATTCTTCATTTCTTGATGAGAGAAGGCACCTTGAGTATTTAACCACCTCATAAACTCTTTAAAATACATCCTCAAGTGTTTAACCACTTTGTGTGAGTGAGAGGAGACTTCAACTTTCAACACAAATCTTCTACAAAGAGCTTGCTTCATATGAATGTTGAAGTTTTTTTGCTGGTGGAACGTATTTTTCTCGTCCATTATTGTATACATTGTACACTATTGACCATCATACACCTCACTAGTCTCACTTAGCTAGATTATTGGGTTTAAGGGTTGGCACCCATCTAACTTATTAGGAAAAATGTTAGATTTTGTATACCTAGTGAAATGTTAGGTTTGTGTATTGATGGCTATGGTTTTGGGTGAGCCAATTGAAAACCCATGGTTGTGTTTTTATGATAGAAGATAAGGGTGGAACCCACTGAAAGCCCGAGAAGGGTTGATGTAAAGGTTGTGGGTGAATCTAGAGAAAACCCATTTTAAATAGTGGATATAGGCAAGTAGCAGAATCACTAATATGTTCTTTGGATTCATTTCTTTCAATTTGAGCATTTAATTTGATATATTCATGCATGTGTTTGGAGATGAATGCGATTCATATATAAATTCTATAGAAGCAAACATATATTTGAATGCATGAATCTATGATTGTACTTGTATGGTCAATGAACTTATAGTCTCGATTGAGTGCAAAATTAGTGGACCAAGTGATAATTTCTAGCTCTATTGGAGCAGAGTTCTAGTCAATGAATGAATCGAAGGCTGACAATTTACTGGCACATTTACTATCCACCACAAGCAGCACAAAATGATATGAGAATCAATTTTATTGTTTGGTTAGCATTTTGAAATTGCTATACTTGTTTTTTCCAAGTAAATCAGTTCGAATTTGCTTCCTAAATCAACAAAGTATTTCCAAGATGCAAAAAATAAAAGATGCCTGAATCAATCAACTGCACAATTAGACAAATATCCTCCCTCACTCCTACTTGACTTTGCAAAATCCTGTGCTTATCCATAGAAATAGACGCATCAATTTGCTTTAAGGGATAGCCATTAAATAACATGTATAATGTACTCACCTGAAAAAGTGAAGCCAGCTCCGGAACCTGAAAAATGGAAGATGCATACATCATCTCCACAGCAAAATCTATAGCGGGTCTGCACGCATCATGAGCACATCCATTATCAACACATGTTGACACCTCTGGGGGAAAAGGCTGTAACTTTCCGGTATACACATAACTTAAGAAAATACGGAAGGCCTCATAGCCCACCCTACCATAAGGCAACAAATCACTCATACAATACTTTGGTTTACCTTCCTTCTCACCCTTTTCTTTCTTGAATAGCTCATGGAAAAACTTACTCCGAGCAGCCAATATACATCGGTGGACACCTACCGGGGCACCCTCAACAACAATATCTGCGTCACTATAATCACAACTAGAATCAATCAAAAGCTGTTCTAGATGACAGCTAAGCTTGTTCAAACTGATGATTTCAAGATTGGACCCTGTCTCAGAACCAGTGGCTGAGATATTGTAGCTAATCGATCCGTTAGATACATGGGAAGATGAAGTAAAACTTATAGATGAAGATGGTTCAGCCAGCAGAATTAGCCATTAATCAACTTCCAAAACTGAAGTCCTCCTCTTGAGCCTTATATAATATCAACCAAAATCAACACAAGAAAATTGAGAGTAAACGAGCAGAATCTATAGATCCCCATATGGGAAATTCAAGTACCTAATGATGAAGGTATGGCTCAAGCGACTCCTCATGGCAAAGACTCACAAAGAAATCTTAGAAAATTCAAAACAGTTCTCAATCACGATTAGATTTCCCTAATCGGACAATGGTAGGTAGTGGACTCAAGAGTCAAGAGTCTTCTTTCAAAAGCTAAACAGTGGGTTTCCTTCTTTCAATACTCCAATTCACATAAAATCAGAACATATATACAAAAAAGACTAATCAAATCAGCTCTAACAAACATAAAAACAAACACAAATTAAGCAAAGTTAGAAATCACCCCAATCAAGAACAGATCAAAATCAATCCCATCTCAGAAACCACAACAAGCAATCAGATCTCACTTCAATTCCAGCCATATTTTCACAAATCAAGCAAAACCCAGATGAATTCTAGCAAGAACCAATCCAAAATTGAAAAAAAAAAAACAACCCACATAAAGCTTGTTCTTTCATAATTAACTGTTTAAGATCAGACCCATCAAAGATCATAGGCTTGTTTGACGCTACACGTCCACGTCCCTCACGTAGTATGAGGAAGCTTCGTGCTTAGGTATCAAAGATAATCTGTGGAGAGAGGAAAAAAAAGAAAGAAAAAAAAATCGGTTTGTTTGAGAGAGAGAGAGAGAGAGAGAGAGAGAGAATTATTGGATGGTTCGTTTCGTTAGCAGAGATGAAGTCGTTTAGGTGACGATTGCGGTGTTGTCACGCTTCTTTGTTGGGTTTTGCTTTCGTCCTCAATTGCGTCACCTCCTCTGATCCCATCCTCCCACCCATCAAATTAAAGGCCTATAAATAAATAAATAAAAAGTTAATTGCACATTCACCCCCTTAAACTATGAGTTATTTATCGCTTTAGTCCTCAGTAAAAATTTCCCACTTCAGGCCCTATACTATTTGTAATTTCCTAACTTTAGTCCCTGAAAAAGTTTTTTTATTTTATTTTTTATTTTTTTAAGGATTAGGCTTCTTTAAGTTCAATTATATACTTCACAAGCCTATCTGACTCATCACTTGTTTTGTTTTAATAATTTGAACCGTTTATTTTATAAGTCTTCAATGTATGTTATCAATGGAAAAAAATTAAGTCGATTGATATATCGTAATATTTTTATTTTTATTGTGTTTATCTCTAAAAAATAATTAAAAAGTATATTTTTGAAAATAGGTTATTTATAATTTTTTCAAACAAATATGATAAAATAAAAAATTGTAATAGATATGCACAATTAAAAAAAGGAAAGTAGATGTGAATCGAAATCTGGAGTTGGAGAAAATCAGGCGGCGAATTTATGCCATTGGTAGAGGGAATAATAGCAAAAAGAATGTAGAATGGACGGAAGGGAAAGTTAGATGAGAAGAGGTAGGCCTTGACATATATCAGTATATAGATGAAATAATAATATTGAAATATTTTATATTAATTTCTATGAAATTGTGGAGTTTTTGAAAAATAAAAAATAAAAGGTGTTTAGAATAATTTAAATAAATATATTTTTTTAATTTTTATAAATATATATATATATATAGTAATGTGATTCAAAACAAATAAAAATATTAAAAGGTTGTTTAAGATGATCTAAATAAGTGTATTTCTTGATTTTTATGAAAAAATGTGAAATATAAGTTGGGTTTGAAGTGATGTGATAGAGAAGTGATATGACTTAAATAAGATGATGTAATTTAAATAAAATAATAATTTTTTAATTTTTTAAAATTATGTCAAACTTAGGTATAAAAAAAAAACCTTTATAGGGAGGCTAAATAGTGCCTAAAACTTTTCTACCTTTATTCCAATTTTATTTTATTAAAATAAAAAAAGGTTCTGAGAATACTGTGTTGTCGGGCCAGCAGAGTGTGCTGTGGGGTTTCACACTTCAATAGCGTTTGCACCTTTAGTACTACAGCATTCACACGGTTTTAATGATTAATTCAAGAAAAGTAGTTTTTCTTATAAGGCCTAAGGACCGGTTTAGTCAAAAATAAATAAATAAATAAATAAAATTAAAATTAAAAAAATATTAAAAAATTAACTATTCATATTAAAAAGTTAAAGATTTTCTTTTCTTTTTATTTTTTACACATCTTTTTATAAAAAGTTAAAAAATCATCTCAAACATAGTAGTTTTTTTTAGCTCATATTTTAGCCAAATAGTCAAAAAGTTACTAAATTAGTCTGTTTCCAAACGGCACCTAATTTTGTAATTAAAATATGAGTGGATAAAACTAGGCAAAATTACAAAAAGAATTGTAGGGTTTCGAGTGTTTTTTTAATTTAAATTTTAGAATTTTAATTGTAATAATTAATATCTTGATGTTACTTTTGTGTCACAATTTAGTCCCTTTGTCTATCTCTGCTCATTCATCTAACCGAAATCTAGGTAAAATTTTCATATTCAAATTCACATATTTAAATCTTTGTATCTTCTTTGTCGTAACTTCATTTCGTCTTATTTTCCTGGCATTGGATTTACCTCATAGCCTAATTTTCATTCTATTCCTCATACGTTTTGTTCCACAACTTTTTGTATACTGTCGGAGCTCCAAAAGTTGGCCAAAATTAAGATTTTTTTCTTTTTCTTTTTTTTTCAAATTCAAACTTACATGTTCAAACTCTTGTATCTCTCTTATCATAACTCCGTTTACCTTATTTTCGTGTCGTTAGATTCGCCTCATGGCATAATTTTCATTCCACCTCCCATACATCTTGTTCCACCTCTTTTTACGTCTCGTCAAAGCTCTGAAATTTGGCCAGAAATAAGATTTTTCTCTTTTCTTTTTTTTTTTTTTTTTTTCCAGATTCAAATCCACATGTTCAAGACATTGTACATTTCACCTCATTTTTGTATCGTTGGATTCACCTCATGGCCAAATTTTAATTTCACCCCTCATATGCCTTGTTTCACCTATTTTTGCATGTCGTTAGAGTTTCGAAAGTTGGCCAAAAAAAAGAGATATTTTTTGACTAACTTTCGGAACTCCTATGACATGCAAAAAGAGGTGAAACAAGGCGTATAAGGATGGAATGAAAAGTAGGCTATGAGATGAATCCAATGACATGAACATAAGGTGAAACGGAATTACGACGATGAAGATACAAGGATTTGAACATGTAAGTTTGAATTTGAAAAAAAAAATTAAGGGAAAAATCTTATTTTTTGCTCTCACGACACACAAAGAGATGGAATAAGATATATGAGGGATGAAATGAAAATTAGGCCATGAGATGAATCCAACGACATAAAAATGAGGTAAAATGGAGTTGCGACGGAGATATAAAGGTTTGAACACGTGGGTTTGAATTTGAAAAAAATCTTATTTTTGACTAACTTTTGGAGATCTAACGGCATGCAAAAAGAGGTGATACAAGGCGTATGAGGGGTGGAATGAAAATTAGGCCATGAGGTGAATTTGACGACGTAAAAATGAGGAGAAACGAAATTACGATGAGGGCGATATATGGACTTGAACATATGGGTTTGAATATGAAAATTTTGCCTAGCTAAAAGAGACGGAGATGGACAAATGGGTTAAATTGTGACACGGAAGTAACATCAGAGTTTTAATTGTTACAATTGAAACTTTGGAATTTAAATTGAAAAATACGCAAAATCCTGAAATTTTTTTGTAATTTGCCCAAAAAAATGTATATTTTTATTATTTTTTAAATTATTAGTAAATGTTATTTTATCTGTTTATTTATGAATTTATATACTTTGACTCCTAATTATAAAAATGTATATCATTTTTACTCCTCTATTGACCCCTCTAGACTTTCAAAATGATTGTATTTGTATATGTTTTTAAAAAAATGTTTCAGAGCTCTAAATTATAAGCTTTAGGGGAGCTCTAAACTGTAGGTCGCATTGTGTGATTTGATATTTTGACCTTTGTTTTGCTTTTTTTTTCTTTTTTTTTTTTGAGTTGCCACATCAGTAGAGCTTTGATTGGAGCTCTACTATTAGAGTTCTTAATCACTACTAAGGGGATCTTAATGTAACTAATCAAAAAAATTAATATATTTGGACATGATTTTTTTTTATTTAAAAACATGTAAAAAAAAAAAAGTAGAGTGACTTGATAATAAATCTTTGACTGTTGAGTGAATAGAAATGAATTTTTAACTTTTTGTATGAGTTGATTTTTTTTTTTTTTAAATGATTGACATACAATTTAAAATTATTCACTATTCTCAAAATGATTAAAGGATTAACATCCAATTTAAAATGAATTTTTCCCTTGTGAATGGATTTAATGAATATTATTAATTTGACTAAATTATCACAATATGAAAATTAAAAGACAAATTATTACAACTAAAATTATAAAAAGTAAATTAATACAAGAAACAATTTACAAAAAAGGGATTTGGGCAATAAGTCCAATTTTAAAAGTTTTGAAGCAATAGCCCCTACCTCTATTATTTTGGGAGCCAAAAGGATAAAACAATTTGGAAGATTATATTACCCTACACATTTGTTTATCTATCTACTGTCCATATCATTTATTTGCCAATATATCATCTATTTTTCTACTTATATGTTCACGTGTCATCTCTTGTTTCTCCACCTAATCTGTATATCTATTCATATCATCACCATCACTAATCGCCACCGCCACCCACTTCCAATGTGCATAATTTATTTGTCTACTTATATATTCACATGTCACTTCTACTTAATCTATATATCTACTCATATTATTACCACTACTAATTGTTGCCACTGGTCACTTCCGGTGACCTTTTCGACTATTTTTTTAGTGACTTTTATAGCGATCTATCGACAACAATCTAGCAACAGTAGAGTAAAAATAAAATAATTTTTTTAAAAAATAATAATTTATCTTTCTTACTAAACAATTTCATTATTCAT